CCCGTTGTAGTCGGGGGAGGTTGAGGTTACGAGGGATAGGAAAGTTTTTGGGTAGGACGAGGTGGGGTTTGCGAGCTTCCAACCCTTGTCGTAGACGCTGGCGTTCTCGTTCTGCGACGATGTGGTTGGCCCAAGCCATCCGTTGCCGCCGTTCCTCTTCGAGGGCTCTGGCTTGTTCTTCTTCTGTACCAAAGAACTCGTGGTCGTTCTCTCCTATCCAGCCACAGTCGCATCGAAAGACTTCGCTGTAAGGAGCGAGGCACCGACATGGGCCTCCGGGTGCAATAAGTCCCGAAAATCCATGTATCCCCCATTGCTCTGGAGATACGGGTGAGTAAAGGTCTTTCCAAGAATCTTGTAAATTGCTCACTTTGAAAGCAATAGGGCCAGACGAACGACTATTCACGGAATGAGTATTTGGGGAAACGATAACGATGACAAACGTACCAAGCAAAGAGTACTAGCTGTACAATCATCAGCATTAAATTACTGATGAAAATTTATGTGAAATTTACGCACCACATCCACCGAGGATCGAAGTAAAACTCATCCAAGTTCAAGTTGAGAGTAGAATCGGTTCTCCGGACCGGCGTTCGGCAGCAATCGAGGTCCCAAGAAGATGATAGATCTTCTTATAGTAAGTATAATAAAAGAGACGAGTTATGTGGCGTTTTCCTGGGCAAGGTAAGAGGGAAAGGTTAAAAACAGTCCACTTTTGCAAATGATTCCATCATATCACGTGACCTCGGCACAGCTGACGTTGGGACATATGGAGTATTTACGTCGTTGACGTCATTCTGTGTCGCATCGTATGCCGCCGAATTGTCGGTTTGAGTTGCGGAGTTTGGAGGGAGGTCGGCTGTCTGAGGACGTGCCTTGATCCTGACCACTACTGCACATAATATTTTTGGCTGCCTTACTCTGCGGATATTGACTGCAAATGGGCTAGCGGTTTCATAGTATTATATTCGCTGCTCAGTTCAACGCGTCGAGCACTACATTAGCAGAATGAGTCGTCGGAGACTTTGATCCTGGCGTGTTGTTATAGACTCCAGTAAGGAATACAAGTCCTCCTAACTCTTCTTGGTCGAAGTCTTCTATGTTCTCTTCTATTTTTGTAGTGAAAACGCGAACATGAGCAACACCATTCTTTGGCGATAGCCAATCATCTGAACCTTTTCTACCTTTCCACGAGTTGGAAGAGCCAGTATTACCGTCTTCAACTGGCTTCTACTTCTGGGATTTCACCTCTGATCAACTTGTCGTTGAGCTAGGATGACAGTACTGCGAACCACAAGTCCTCACAAACCCGCTAAAGACCACGAAACTCGTCCATACGGCAATCTGATACCCAGTTCTTTACTCAACCTTCCAGGTGGTGACTACTTTCCAAATTGGGAACGGCTCAGCTTTATAAACGCGTCGACTCCATCGAGTTCTACCAGGAAGCAACTTGGACTCTACCACATTTTTTGCTCTACAACCGCACAGTACGCCCTTTTCTTCTCTTCTTCACTCTGTACTCATCGCGACGAACAGCCGTCACTCGTTTTCGTCGATCCTTACCACTCGCCAATTTACTTCCGAACCACTACTCTACTCGCCCCCATTAACAGCATTATACGATCCAATGTTCATCGAAATGACGAGGGGATGCAACAGTCCCTCCTTGGGCATTCCAAACGTAGACAAGCGAGGCGCTAGCAAGACATTAGCCACGCCAAAAACCACAGCATCGCCACTTACTGCCATCAGGATTGATCCACGTTGGCAAAATCTCATTATTCTGAGGATCAAGTTTGAAAATGGCCGCTTCCGTGCCCCTGCCATTGGCAGGTAAACAGCTACTTTGTGCTTCG